ACAGAAAACACGGTGAATGAAGACACTAATCATCCTAACCAGAAAACCACAGAACACATCATGAGAGAAGACAGCACTGCAGAGGACACTGATGAACAGAAAAGTAACCCGACTGTGGTGAAAGTGGATGCAACATCTGACATCTTTAAAGACAAGAATGAGAAGAAAATCAGAACAGTGCTGACTGTTGGAGAAGCTGATATCGGAAAATCGTTTCATGTACAGAAATACATAGAAGAGTGGGCCAAAAATACAAATCCTTCATTTTTCACTTGGATTGCAGATATAGCAAAATCTTTCATTGGTAAAGCAAAAGGGAAAGAACTAGGAATATTTCCACTCAGTGAGCTTAACCAGATTAAAGATATGAACTTTAGCTTAGTGGGTCTTCTTAACCATTTCTTCAGCGAAACCAAAGAATTTGTAATTACTAATTTTTCACAATTCCCAGTTTTAATTATCTTGGATGGACTTGACAAATCACAGCTTCCACTTGACTTTGACAACAACAACATCTTGTCTGATATCAGTGAACCAGCCTCAGTGGACGTGCTGTTGACCAACCTTATCAAAGGGAACCTGCTTCCTTCAGCTCAAGTGTGGATAACGTCCCGACCTTCAGCTGGTAATCAGCTGAATGTTGAAAAATGTGTTGACAGGGTGACAGAAATACGAGGTAAGATTGCAACTGCAATTAGATATCATTCAGTATCTTTGTAGTACTTATGCTACTATACTAGACCAAAAGAGAGTCAAAATACTAAAAAAAAACTTTCAGAAAAGACAAATGTATTAAATTTTTATATAATAAATAACTTTTTAATTGCTGAAAACCAGACAAATGTATACAGTGTATACTTGTGTAATTTCTGTTTCTAATGTTTTCTTACAGAGAAGCCTGATATCACAAGCCAACGCAAACTCAAGTCTCAACTGAAGGAGCAGTTTACTCGTGTGTCTGAGGGCATCGACAGGCAAAAAACCTCTGCTGTCCTGAATGAGATCTACACAGAGCTCTACATCATAGAGGGGCAGAGTGGAGAAGTCAATGAGCAGCAAGAGATCAGACAGGTTCAAAATGCAAAGTTCAAACCAGTTAAACAAGAAACAGCAATTAAATATAATGAGATCTTCACCTCTGTAGAAAATAAACATATTAAAACTGTGATGACAATTGGAGTGGCAGGCATAGGAAAAACTATCGCATCAATGAAGTACATGCTGGACTGGGCTGAGGGTAACGCAGTTCAAAACATTTATTTCATGTTTCCATTTCCTTTCCGAGAGCTTAATTTGAGAAGAGAGGAACAACTCAGTTTTGAGGATCTTCTTCATCAGTTCTTTCCAGCTATGAAGACCTCAGAAATATCTGACTATGACAAGTACGAAATTCTGGTTGTTCTGGATGGCTTTGATGAATGTCGACTTGATCTTGACTTCAGTGAAAGTAATAAATGCATCAGTGTGAGAGAGCAAACATCAGTCAATATTCTGCTGACCAACCTCATCCAAGGAAATCTGCTTCCTAAAGCTCAGATCTGGATCACCTCCCGTCCTGCAGCGTCCAACCGTATTCCTGTTGATAAAGTTGACCGGGTCACAGAGGTGCGAGGATTCAATGATGAGCAAAAAGAAGAATACTTCAGGAAGAGGTTTAAGG